GTGTAGTTCCCAGGCCCCACTCCCCTCCCTCCTGGCTGTCCAGTTCCAGGACCCCCTCACCTCCCTCCTGGCTGTCCAGTTCCCAGGGCCTCTCACCTCCCTCCTGACTGTCCAGTTCCCAGGGCCTCTCACCTCCCTCTTAATGTTTCCAAGCTTGACCTTCAAACCCCCTCACGTGGTTTCTTCACGGTCAGCACCAGGACCGATAACCTAGCCCCCCAACCGCGCCTTAGACATCCGGGGATCCCCGATACCTGACAGGCCAGGTCCTCCGGGCGTCCAGAATGTATGGCCCCCGCCCAGCCCTCCCAGGCCCTGTGGTGCCCAAGCCCGTCCCCCAGGCAACACGCTCATCCTCCCTCCCCAGCCTGCCCTGCGCTGCCCTGTCCGAGTCTCAGCCTGTCCTGGCGGCTTGGTGGGTGAGACGGCTGTCCTCCCTGCAGGAGGGCCAGCTGCGGCCACCTAACGGCCAGCCTCAGTCTCCCCGTCTGACCACGGCACAAACTGAGGCCGGTTCCTCTGGTCTTCAGCCCAGCCCCTGGGTCCGTGTCTGCCCCCTGCCCTCTGCTCTGTCGCGGCCTCTCCCTGCGTCTGTCCTGTCCCCTCCTTGTGCCTGTGCTCTCTCGTGTCCCTCCCGTCACTGTCCCTGGGGGTCTTCTTGCCCATCCACTCCTTCACCGCTGTCGGGAGGCTGGGACCCGGCCCTGGCAGACCTAGGAGTCATAGGGCTAGGCTGTCACAGCTGGTGGCAGGGCCAGTGTGCGGGGAGCGGAGGGCATCTGCCGGGGCTGCAGGGGCTGGAGGTGGAGGGAGATGAGGGGGATGGGGCTCTCCCCCGAGGGCAGGCGGGGCAGAGGCCTGGGGCGTAGGGATGCGGGGAGGCCGGGTCACCGCGAGGCCGCAGGCTTGTCAGGTGTCGGGCTCCGGCCTGCGGGCTCCACAGTCAAGTCCATAAGCTGGCGAGGGGGCTCCTCTGCGAGTGTCCCTGGGTCTCATGGCCCCCAGGCTGACTTCCCTGTGGCCTCTCCCTCACCCCTTGCCCCGCCTGTGCCCACTCCCTCTCGGGCTGCTGTGGGTCGGCTCTCTCTGGGTCTGCGGTCCTCATTCTGCGGCCTGCACCTGGACCCTCCTCTCTGGATCGCTGTTCCTGGCCCTCGGGAATGCTGCCCCTTCAAGCACGTCCCTGCTTCTCTCTGGGTCTCTGTCCCTTCCCAGGGCTCTGGCCCCCATCTCTGTTTCTCTCTCTGCATCTGTTTCCCTCTCTCCCTGGCTCTCTGCTCCCCTAGTTCTCCACCCCTCCCATGTCTCTGTCCCCCCTTTCTCTCTTGGTCCCTGTCCCCTTCTCTCTTTCTCTTCCCTCTTTTTCCCCCTCTCTCTGGGTCTCTGTCCCCCCCCTCTGGATCTCTGTCCCCCTCTCTCTGGGTCTTTGTCCCTCTCTCTGGGTCTCTGTCCCCCTCTCTCCAAGACTCTGTGCATCTCTCTGGGTCTCTGTCCCTCTCTCTGGATCTCTGTCCCCCTCTCTCTGGATCTCTGTCCCCTCTCTCTGGGTCTCTGTCCCCCTCTCTCCAAGACTCTGTGCATCTCTCTGGGTCTCTGTCCCTCTCTCTGGATCTCTGTCCCCTCTCTCCGGGTCTCTGTCCCCCTCTCTCCGGGACTCTGTCCCCCTCTCTCTGGATCTCTGTCTCTGGTCTCTGTTCTGTCCCCCTCTCTCTGGATCTCTGTCCCCTCTCTCCGGGTCTCTGTCCCCCTCTCTCCGGGACTCTGTCCCTCTCTCTGGGTCTCTGTCCCCCTCTCTCTGGGTCTCTGTCTCTCTCTCCGGGGCTGTCTCACGCAAGGGCTGCCTGTGGTCTGCCTTTCCAGCTGTCACCCTGGCCTCTGTCTTGCTGTCTCTGTCCCTCTCCCTCACTCGGCCTCTTCCCTTCCTCCCTCCAGAACAAATAGGCTCTGACACCAGTGGTGCCCCGGCGTGCCGGCGGTGACCAGGTGCCGGCTCAGAGTGGGAGCGTTAAGTGGATCGGAAATCTGAGCCCGGGTGTCAGGACGGAGAGCTGCAGGCTGGAGACAGCAGGGAACCCCTGGGAGATGGGGGAAACCGCGGCAAGGAGTGGCTGAACCCCTTTCTCCAACTGCAGGAAAAGGCAGATCTTGGGGAGCTCAACTTCTCACTCTGCTACCTCCCCACCGCGGGGCGCCTCACGGTGACCATCATCAAAGCCTCTAACCTCAAAGCGATGGACCTCACGGGCTTCTCAGGTGGGCGCTGGGCGGGGTGGGC